AGTCAGCATGCGTAGGGCCACACAAACGAGGAATGTGTCCAATACATATAAAAACCCTTCCTGTTTTCACTCACATTGATTTATTTAGTGCATACAATTCAGCACAATAGCCCCTTTTATTAACGGTTAGCTTTTCTCATTTACATTACTATGTAATCCACGCGGATGTGGTGCTATTTCGGGCCGAAACTACAAAATCGTCCAAAATTTGCAACACATGTTGGATTATCAGTTTAATTGTTAACAATATCCAAGTAAATAACTGCAGAGCTCCGCTTTTGGGCTTTGCTAAATCTACATATTATACCTTGTTCCACTCCATCCTCCTAAAATTTCGGTTAGTCTCAACCTCAGCGTTCTTATAGAGAAGGTTGTTATAATAAAAAAAAGGAAAAATAGTGTACCTTGTTCTGTCCATCCTCCTGGTACGTGCTCCAGGTTTGACCATCAGTAGAAAAGGACAGTTGATAGCTTGTCAGATATGATCCTGACGACTTTCCTTGTGTTGCCACAGCACAGACTGAATACTCGGCTCCCATATCGATTTGGAGGTAATCATCTGGGTTATCTCTGCTCCCCGCACACCACCCCGATGATCCATTTAGTCGGCCATTATATGAATAATATGAGAGGTAATGTGAGGTCGTGGTCATTTGACTATCTGGTATGCTGTATATATCTGCTGATACTCCTATTGCTGTGCAGGGACCTGGTACCAAGACAAAGCAAATTGTCACCTCACTAATCATTTCTTTACAGAGTGTTTTCACATGAAGTCCCAGCAGCCTTATTTGTGTCCCTGTCCATTGGAAAACTGATAAATACAAGGCTCATTAAAAAAAAACCGACGCTTTCTGCAAGTGAATATATGAAAAATCATAAGAGAGATGTGGAGACATGAATTATTATCGCAGTTACGTACATCTCTCTCCGCAGTTCAGATATATGATCTCAGTTTTATAAAAGATATATTTACTTCCATTTTTCACCGTCCAAGGGTATATTACCAACGTACAACGTAACCAGCTCCCAGTTGGCTTGATAGCTCAGACGTTAGAGCACTGAACCGGTATCAGGGGTTCGATCCTGTTCAAGCCTGTTTGTTTTTCTTCTTATTATTCCTCAGGCTATAATTTTATAACTGCCCAAGTTGTGGACATTATCGCGATATCTTCACAATAGACGCTTTCTGTCGAGGGGCTCTTGACTAATAGTTGCCCAGGGAAAAGCTGTCTTCTAGAAGGCCCGAGAGGGAAGTTTGAGGGCTTACATGCGACTTTTTTATTACAATTTTTTAAGGGCTACTGTCCGCGCATCTGTCCGAGACATTAACACTCTGTTGCCTTTCTTTTCCACCACTAAATTTTCTTGTAGCGAAATACCCAAAACAGAAAACGAAATACCTCTTACTAACCGAGTTCCAGGGCCGTACTGTAAGTCACGGACCGAGTTTTTCCCTATCGATTTATAGCCCAAGCGCGAAGCGCGCGGACCATAAATCGAAGGAGAAAAACGAAGATCCGTAACTTACAGTACGGACCGAGAAGACGAGATAAGTAAGATATTTATTATANGAAGGAGAAAAACGAAGACCCGTAACTTACAGTACGGACCGAGAAGACGAGATAAGTAAGATATTTATTATATCTCTACTGTGTGTCTGCCGGGTTTGGGAACGCTTTCTATTCACGCGGAACGGCTTCAAATTTCTGACGCACGTCAAAAGCAGAACGAGTCAATTTGAAATCGCTGTTAAGTGACCCTTAAGTCGTTAGCAGGAAGTAAAAGAAAGTTGCCTAAGTATCGTGTCTAAGTATTTCATAGCAATGTCGGATTTTGCCTATTGACCTTTCACAGTTTCTGACGCCATCTTTCTTGGGGGACAAACACGACAAAAATTACGGTAGATGTAAGGGAAAAGTGGAGAATCTAATGCCTAACAACTCACAGAAAATTCGAGTTCGGAAATACATATGAATAAAAAACTAAAGATACAAGGTAAAGGAATTTATTGGTTCGAGGGAAATAGCCCCGCTAAAAAAGCTACAATATAGGATTTCATGTTTACATACCTTTGTTTTTAAAGCCGGGTCGCAATTCGCAGGAAAATTTAGAGGCATTTGAATGAAAAAATTTAAAGTGTAATTCCTCGCCTCATAGCAAATCTATGCTCTTGAAATTTGATCAGAAAACCCTTTTATTGGTTTTCGTTTTTTTTTTGAAAGTCGTAAAATCTTCAGAACGTCAGTCACTTAGCTCTAAAATTATTGGGCATCCAACTTTTAATTTCCATACATTTACTGAACCCTTTACTGTATTTTTCGCTGTGTTTGCCCCCCAAGCAAGCCGGCATCAGAAACCGTGAAAAGGTCTATTAACCTTCAGTTGTTGGAGCAACAGTTGTCGTTGGAGCAATGGTTGTTGTTGTTGGAGCAAGAGTTGTTGCTGCAAGAGTTGTTGCTTCAGCTGTTGTTGGCTGAGCTGTTGTTTGAGGTTTTTTCCACTCTGCAATCTCCTCTTCAATCTCTGTCAGTCGAGCTTCGAGGTTTTTGATCAACTGGAGCACTACAATGAAATCAAAGCAATTTTACGTTCCAGAGGATTGTCAAAAGGCGGTAAAGTTCAAATCGCCCTCTTGTGCTGAGACTGTGCACAGGAGGATACTAGCAGTAACTCTTAGACAAGACCTGTTCCGCATGAGATGTCGAACGTTCAAGATATGATACTCAGGGGAGTTTAACGCCCAGACCACACTACGCCGGAGAAATTTGGAAACGTTTTCTTCACTCTGAAAACGTATCAAGTGTTTTCCGTCCTCACTACGCCGGGGAAATTTTTAAAACGCAACACTCACTGGTCATTGATTTTAGATTTGTGTTTAAGGAAAACTCGATCCGGGAAATCACATCATTATCGTGACGTCATCGTTCTCGAAAAGTTCCCTTTTCAAAATGTTTCCGTCCACGCTAAAACGCAAAGTCGACGTTGTCAAACTTCTCCGGTTTGAAGAGCTCTTTCGACAAGCTCCATTTTCGTGACGGATTAGTGTGGACGGTAGGCCTTATCACAGAAATAAAGCTGCGTTTTCAAATTCCTCCTGCGTAGTGGAGCTTGATTTCTACGGTTAGGCCTACCGTTCAAACTAATCCCTCACGAATCCGGAACTTTTCAAAACGCTCTTCAAACCGGAGGAATTTGACAACGCCAGCTTCCGTTTTTCGAAATTAGACACTGTGGTCCTCCAGATTGGGGGTTGAACATAGGGCTGACAACCTTATTCCTATGCTGTAAATAGCTAAATGTCACAGAAACTTATGGTCTGATGACGCTTAAGGGCGCGAAGGGGATTGAGTAAGTGATAGTTCACTGTGTTGGCAATCATGGTTTACTTACGTTTGCACTGGTCCTCCAAGTCGAATTCCACCGATTTCTTCTCCTTGGCTTCCAGCTTCTTTAAGATCCCTTCATAATTTTCTTTTTCCATAACAGGAATGGGGCTGGCATTTTCCATCAGGATAAACAGCAGCAGACAGGTCACAAAAGCAGTCCTCGGTCGAATGATCATTTCTGTAAGACCTGTTATTTATTCTCTATTAATGTTTATGTCAAGTGACTGTCTGGTTCCGCTAGCCCCTATTGTTATTCCGGCCCGGCAGCGCAATTCTCTAATTCCATTCCTACTTTACCAATTATAATATTTAATTTAAGGGTAAGAAAGTGGGCAAATAACAATTGTTGTTATTCTTAAGCAATAAATAACGGACTTAAGATTTGGGTACGAGGACGACTTTTCAATTCTAGTTTGCAGACTCCACATTATTACGTCAAACACCCAGAGCGAAGTCACTGGTTTGAAATTTGAAAATCATACTCGTAACCCAGGGTCTCAAGTAATGCAACATGCAAGTAATATGCTATTTACTTGACGCTCCAATTTGATCTAAATTTGTTGCGAATACGAAAAAATCTGAAAATCTTCAACAGTTGTGTCATTTGAGAAACAATTTTTCTTTAAGAGATCTATTAATTGTTGTTGTTGTTTTTGTTGTTGGATGGTATGTAAATGATATGTTAAACTTAAAATTGATCGAAAAAATATAATAAATTAATAAAATAATAAAAACGAACAAAAACATGTTTCTGGTAGGCACAAAATTCACGATCTTACGATATCTATTCTGAAGACATGATTGATTATCACAGTTATGCACACAGCTTAAGCAGTTGTGAAATTAAAGCCAAAAACAAAATCCCGTTCAAGTCTGAATTTCTTTCAGGCTTTAAATTTCACAACTGCTTAAGTTGTGTGGGTAGCCGCGATGATCAATCATGTCTTCATATTTTTCTTCGCAGCTCAGATATATGATCTTTCATAATTACATTCACTTGTAACATATATTTTGTTTCATTTTCCTGAAGAACAATGTAAACCTTTTCAACTAAAGAATATTGATTTTTACGAAATGATCAGTGAGTTAATTGAAAGTAATTGATAATGCGTGAGAATTCTGAATCATGGCTGATCAAGGGCGCTTTTCATTCAACGAATAGCTTCCGAAACTTATAAAATTCCTTGGACAGTACAATTTCGTGAAAATCCGAAAATTGTTGAATATCAGAATTGTGAACCATTGAGCCACAAATTACGGTAAGGAATTTTCCAACTTATTCGGTAATACTTCTAAAAGTTCTGGAAATTCTAACCGGAATTTTGGGTCGAATGAACAGAGCCCCAAAGGCCTGGTGTACAAACAACTCTCGACAGATCAATCTCTGACAGAATTTTTAAATAATCGAACAACTTCTTTTCAACAAATTTTCTCATGACTTGGTGTTCTAAAACAATTTAGAAGACAGCTGTTAGTATCTTTATTTCTTAAGGCATATCGAAATTAAGGGAAAAACAAAGTTGTTTTTTTAACCTCCTGAGAGTGCCTCGATCAGTATCGCTAGACTTTGTATATTTAGCTGTAGCTAAATTTCCATATTTACTCAGTTTACGGTTAATCTCTTTTAAGGTCAATATTTTGTAATGTTATTTGAATTTCGGTCTTTTACGTCTAAAAAGAAAGGATGTGGTTTACATGTAACTGATAGGTGAGAATTGGCCAACTTTTAACGATGGCGCGCCTCTTTAACTCGAAGCTGAAATTTGAGATCTCCAAAATTTATTGATAGCAGAGAAATGGGCGGAATTTGTAACCAACAACGGAGAGATAAATCGCAATCTCTGTAAAACCTGGATATGCAGGGCATGGGTTTAATTCATTTCAACTAATCATGATTGTAAAGTTTTTAGAAGTTACGTAACAATGAAGATACATTCAACCATACAACACAGTATTTTCTACATGAAATTGAAATGAACCCAAATTATGTTCATAAAAGCCTTTAGTTTTTCAGTATGTACTTATTATTTGCGTCATCTCGGCCCCAACGATAGAATATAAAAGGTTCTTACGGAGAAAAAGTAGATTCACTTGAGGAAAAAACAGGCCAAGGATCGTGTAATCTCACTGATCAAGAAACTCTCAGCAATTCCTACCTTTTTTCGGTATAATTGAAGATCTCTGAGAACAATTCAAATACTGAAGTGCAGTGCTCAGTGTTGCGTGCGGAGTCAGTAATAGGTGATCATAATAAAGTCAATAATGAGATAAGGAGTTAACTGTGAAGATGGGTTGATGGCATTTGAGGTGAGTGAATAATCACCCATGATCGGCTGTTTAAACAAACAAGAACTAACTACAGCTGACATTGGCCATTTGGGTCACACGTTATTCGAGACAAAACGAGTTTCTTTCACACCGTTGCACTGATAGCGTACTAACGAATCAGAAAGGTAGATTTTTTTGTTCTCTTCTTTTTCGGGGAATTTGATAGACAAAAGGGAAAACATAAATATCTCAATTCAAAGGAACAGTACCATGAGAGGTCATCTAAGTTTTTGTATAAATTATGCTAGAATTATGAAGGTGCACTCACTGATCAATAAAATAACCTTTACAGTTTTCTGTTTTTTTGAGACTTTTAGAACCAGGTGCGATTTTTCAGGCTTGGGACTACACTGTTTTGAATGGCTGTGCAATTTTTTTAAGGTAACTCTCCACTGTACCTTTCGTTGTGTTTAAGTCATAAATTAAGGTTGCAGTGTCCTGCTGCATAGCAACGAACTTCACCCACTTTTTGCCATCAATTGTATCTATCTTTAAAACTAAGCCGAGGAAGAAACAGGGAAAATTAGAAAATATTCTGCGGAGTAGATTTTTCTTAAATTTAAAAAGAAATGGAAATTTCAAGATTGGAAAAATTCCACTCTACAGTTTTGTTGGTTTTTTTTTTTTTTTTTTTTTTTTTTT